TGTCACAATTGGTTTATCCATTTGAATGTTGGATTGTTCCAGTTTGGGGCTATTATGAGTAAAGTTGCTTTGAACATTTATGAACAGGCCAGGGCATATGTTTTCATTTATTTTGGGTAAATGCATAAGAGTAGAATTGCTGGAATGGTAAATATGTTTAACTTTTTAAGAAATTGCCCATCATTTGCAAAGTGACTCCTCTTTTACATTCCTACCAGCAATTTATGAGATTTCTAGTTTTTTCCACATACTTTTCAGTACTCAGGTTTTTCATTTTCTGTCTTTTTAATATTATGCATTTTATCCATTTTTCAATTCAGGAAGCATTGGGATGGAGGCCTTAGGTGCTTCCAGGTGGCACTTTGTGTCTCAGTGTGGTTTTAATTTGCATCTTCCTGATGACTAATGATGCTGAGTATCTTTTCCTGTGCTTACCAGCCATCTGTTTCTCCTCTTTGGTAAAATGTCTCTTCAGATCTCTTGCCCATTTTTAAATTTTGTTTGTTTGTTTGCATATTACTGAGTTGTGAGAGTTCTTAACATAGTCTGGATACAAGTTCTTTATCAGGTTCTGTTTTGCAAATGTTTTCTTTGCCCAGGATGGAATGCAATGGCATGATCACGGCTCACTGCAGCCTTGCCCTTCTGGGCTCAAGCTTAGCCTTCTGCCTTAGCCTCCTGCCTTAGCCTAGCTGGGGCTACAGGGGTGAGCCACCATGCCCTGCTAATTAAAAAAAATTTTTTGTAGAGATGGGGTCTCACTATGTTATCCAGGTTAGTCTTGAACTCCTGGGCTCAAGCATTCCTCCCATCTTGACCTCCCAAAGCAAGCCAAAATACTGGGATTATAAGCATGAACCATCGCACCTGGCCCAACCTTGCTAACAAGTAGAAGTTGTAAGTTTTGATCAAGTCCACTGACAGGGCTTAGAAGCAATAAATCCCAGTATCAGTGATCACAACTAATACGTAGAGCTTGTTTTTCTAAATGTTCTTCTCTACTAAAGAAATCAGAAATCCTTAGAGAAGTGACTGATTCCAGGGCTGGAGTGGAAAGAGATAAGCCGTAAGTATTTTGTGTATCTAAAAGGAAGGATGTGCTCATAGAAAAATGGGGATTAGTCAAAAGCACAAGAGCTATCTTGAAGGAGCTCCCACTGACCAAATCTGAGGTAATTTGAGCATCAAGGTGAATACAGATAATAATGGATTATAACTTATTGAATACAGGAAATCATGAGTCAGAACAGCTATAGATAAATAAATGCGGTAAAAATGAAAGCCCTTCCTCATGGTAAAATGCCAACTAATACATATATAGGAATGATAGAATGAAAAAATCACCATTTGGGCTGGGCATAGTAGCTTATGCCTGTAATCCCAGCACTTTGGGAGGTCGAGGCATGAGGACTGCTTGACCCAAGGAGTTCAGGACCAGCCTAGGCTCATACCTCATCTCTACAACAAATCAAAAAATTAGCTGGGTGTGGTGGTGCATGATTGTAGTCCCAGCTACTTGAGAGGCGGAGGTTGAAGGATCATCTGAGCCCAGCAAGTCAAACTGTGGTGAGCCATGATCATGCCACTGCACTCTGTCCTGGGTGAGTGAGACCCCAACTCATAAAAAAAATTGACTGAGCTCGCGGGTTCGAGACCGCCTGGGCAGGTGAGACCTCATCTCTACAATAAATCAAAAAATTAGCCGGGCGTGGTAGCGTGCACCTGTAGTTCCGGCTACTTGGAAGGCTGAGGCAGAACAATCACTGGAGCCCAGCAGATCGAGGCTGTGGTGGCTGGGAGCGTGCCACTGCCCTCCAGTCTGGGCGACAGAGTGAGACTCCAACTCAAGAAAAAAAAAAAATTAGCCCAGCATGGTAGCACATGCTTATAGTTCTGACTACTTGGAAGGCTGAGGCAGAAGGATTGCCTGAGCCCAGCAGGTCAATGCTGGGGTGGCTGTGAGTGTGCCACTGTACTCCAGCATTGGTGACAGAGTGAGACTCTGACTCAAAAAAAAAAAAAAAGTCACCATTTGGTAGCCATCATGGCAATCATTTATTCAGGCAGTAATCATTCCATGCTAAGATAAGTGGGTGAAAGTTTGTTGAAAAACAAGATATTTACATAGTTTCAAAGTATATCTCTACAAAATACATACTAATTATAATGAAACAAAAACAGTTCCTTTCCAGTGGAAAAACATGGAACATACTTCCTTAACCAAATGACCAAGTTAATCTCACAAAAATCAACAATGTACTTCCTGATGTGTGCCGAGAAGGGACCCAGGATTGCTTCTGTGTTCTTCCTGCCAATAAATGTATGATCTGACTCTAATCACATGGAAACATTAGAGGAATCCAAACTGATGGAAATTCTGCAAACATAATTGACTTGTACTTCTGAAAACTGTTAAGGTCACAAAAGACAAGGAGAGAATAAGGAACTATTTAAAGAAATGTGACTGCTAAATGCAACTGGATAACAATCCTGGACCAGAGGAAGAAGAAAACGGTGTTTTCTATAAAGATCAGTTCAATAAGTATTAAACATCTGTTCCTTGAAGTTCAGGCACACTGGATCCTCTAAGAGGGAAAATCTCTGCATACTACTTTTTTGCAGGGCTGAATAATTTCCAAATATTCATTAATAATTTTTTATCTGTTAATTATCTGCCATGTTTTTTATCCATCTACACATTCATTGTAAACATTTTCCAGTCTTAAGTTTGTTTTTGGTTTTTTCTTTTACTTTAACTTTTTTAACTATAAAAGTTAAACAGACTCCTTGTTTAAAAAATAAATAAATATAAGCCGGGCTCAGTGGCTCAGCCTGTAATCCCGTGCTTTGGGAGGCTGAGGTGAGTGAATTGCCTGAGCCCGCGGGTTCGAGACCCACCTGGGCAACTTGGCGAGACCTCATCTCTACAGTTAATCAAAAATGAGCCTGGCGTGGTAGCGCATGCCTGTAGTTCCAGCTACCTGGAAGGCTGAGGCGGAAGGATCACCGGAGCCCAGCAGGTCGAGGCTGCAGTGACCGCGAGCGGCCACCGCACTCCAGTCTAGGTGACAGAGTGAGACTCCAACTCAAATAAATAAATAAATAAATAAACAAATAAATAAATATAAATTGTACAAAGAGCATAAAGACCAAAATGAATAGTTCTCTCAGCTCCACATCCCACTCTCCAGATATTCTCTTTCTCATTTCATTTTCTAAAGTTTGCCTCCCACTCTTTTTGCTTCCTTTCACTCTAAAAATTCTTAAGTATTTCTGTGAATTACTCATGCAGCAAAAGCATGTATCTTTTTTTTTTTTTTTGAGTTGGAGTCTCACTCTGTCGCCCAGACTGGAGTGCAGTGGCCGCTCCCAGCCACCGCAGCCTCGACCTGCTGGGCTCCGACGATCCTTCCGCCTCAGCCTTCCAAGTAGCTGGAACTACAGGCGCGTGCTACCACGCCAGACTAGTTTTTGATTTATTGTAGAGATGAGGTCTCGCCAAGTTGCCCAGACGGGTCTCGAACCCGCGGGCTCAGGCATTCCACTCACCTCAGTCTCCCAAAGGTGCGGGATTACAGGCTTAGCCACCGAGCCCGGCTAAAAGCATGTATCTTAATGGACTAGGAAAGCAAAGAGTTTACAGTGAAAAATCTATAAGTTAGCCTCTATAGATTTTATGATAAATGGATGTTTATATTCAAAACACACATTTATGCATATTTAAGAATTTTGAAAGTATGAAGACCTTATAAGAAAGCATGTACAGGCCAGGCACAGTGATTCATACCTCTAATTCCAGCACTTTGGGAGGCAGAGGCAAGAGGATGCCTGAACTCGGTGTTCGAGACCAGCCTGAGCAACATGGCAAGACCTCATCTATTGTACAATAAATCAAAAAATTAGCCAGGCGTGGTGGCACACACCTGTAGTTCTAGCTACTTGGAAGGCTAAGGCAGAAGGATCACTGGAGCCCAGCAGGTCAAGGCTGTGATGGCTGTGAGTGTGCTACTGCACTCCAACCTAGGCAACAGATTGAGACTCTTGACTCAAAAAAAAAAAAGGAAAGAAAGAAAGAAAGCATGTATGTAACTGACACATAATTTATGACAATAATGACATATAGTGAGCCAGCAATGTAGATTCTGGGCTACTGGAAGTTATTACATAATCTTTGGTGTTATCCTTTTATTAAAAAAAAACAGAAAACACCAGGCCAGGTGCCATGGCTCATGCCTGTAATCCCAGCACTTTGGGAGGCTGAGGTGGAAGGATTGCTTGAGCCTGGGAGGTCAAGACTGCAGTGAGCTGTGATCATGTCATTGCACTCCAGCCTGGACAACAGAGTGAGACTCCAACTCATTAAAGTAACAAACAAACGAAAAATCCACCCAAAAGCTTTTCCACTCTCTTGTTTTATTAACAATTTGTATTGAAATTGGTGCTATTTGGTTCAACTGTGGTACAGGTTGGAGGTAGAGATGAGTCTTCCTTCAGAAGACTAAGTACCTGAATCTTTTGGGTTTTGTCCTTCATGAAATAATAGGATCTTAGAACTAAAGAACCACTGGGAATTCTCTTGTTACCTCTTTGTTTTATAAGTGAGAAACAAATGCTTGATATAGTAGGCATTCAGCAGATGTGTGTTGAATTAATGGATGAGTAAAACAAGGTCCATAGAAAGTAAATGATTGGTTCTTAATCCTCCACAAATTAGTGACGTTTGACCTCTGTGGTTTAAATAAAGGAACCAGAATGTTAATGGTGGAGCTTTTACTTATTCATGTAACAAACGTTTTTTGAATGCTTAAGATATGCTATGTTCTGTCCAAGGAGTTGTTCATCATTGTACACCCTTGATGCAGTGACCACTTGCTCCTCTTCAGTGTCTGTGAGGAGAGCCCGTTGTTTTAGCTGAATCCTGGGGTGTGGCATGTGGGGTGAGAAATAGGCTTCTCTGTGTCTGGTTATCAACTGAACTTCTTTGTGTGTTTTTTTTCCAGCTGGAGGAAGAAAGATCTGTGCTCAATAATCAGTTGTTAGAAATGAAAAAGAGGTAGGCTTTCTTTCTGTGTTTCTTGTGTGTGTGTCTGTGTGTGTGTGTGTGTGTGTGTCTGTGTGTCTGTGTGTGTCTAATAAGGAACATGTCAGAACATGATATATATGGTAACTTGTAGTAGTAAACAAGTGACCTTATATTCAGAAAATGGCACTGGGATAGTTTGGTACTTAAAATGACAAATTATACAAATCCATTTGCATAAGTTTCCCTGTTAACTAAAACAAAAATAGTTTTAATTTTAAGCCATGTCCAGCTGCATTTGTTCAGAAGTGATTTGAAGTCAGATTGTCTCATATTATACCACTATTAACTCCTAGTTTCAGTAACTAAAAATACTATAATCTTACATATAGTAATTGATCTGGACATAAACTGATTTCAATTATATAAAATTTTTAATTTTCACTAATAATGGGTAATATCATTTTAAGTGTTTCCACTTATTTTCTAAAATATAGGTTTGTTATTTAATCTCCTATTATAGTCAAATGATATTCAAGTAGAAACCTAGTAAGAAAGAACATGACCCACAGAAATAATTGTTTAGAAGCCTGATGCTTATATATCCTAAACAGTCTCTGTCTGCTCTTTTAAAACGTGGAGTTTTTGTCTAGAGAAAGTCTGTGCTTTACATTGCATGCCACGCAGGCTTAGTGTGTACTATTGCTGAGAACCAGAGCCTATGCACCGAGTTGCTGTAGACTACTAAATAGAAGCATCTCATGACAGTGGCATGCCTTTTTGCTTATGAAAAACAAAACTAAAACTAGACACAAACCTTGGAGGACAGCATAAACAATAATTCCCCTACGTTCTTGTGAAGTATTTTATTCCTGCTTGTCTAGTCAGAGGAGGTTTCCCCTGGCTTTCCCTACTGAGGTGTGTGTTTTACACTGGCAGTGTCACCTCCTGCCAGCATGGCAGTTGCTTAAGAGTGGGGGCTTTTTTATTTTAATTTAGATGTTTGAATTCTGTAAGCTACATTCTAAAGGACATCAGGCCTTGGTCCAGGGGAGCTTTTCTTATCTTTTTAAAAAAAATTAAATAGTGATATTCATTCTTCTTTCAAATTTCACTAAGGTGGTGTTGATTCTCCAGAATGCTTGTGTGTCTCACTCACCACTGCCAAGCCCCTGGCCTAGCCAGATCTTCTCCACGGTCTGTGAGGAGTGGTGTAACTCCTCTGCCATGCCTTAACCTAGTTCTGTGTATAGGCACAGCTCTGTCCCCTGTGGACCTCAGGGTATTCAATTTTGCATAAATAAGGTTTGTTTCTTTAAAAGAACCTTGTATAAGCAGTTATCAAAGATATGTAAAAACAATAAATAGGGCTTGTTCCTGTGGCATTCTGGCAAGGGAGCACAAAAAATGATTTGGTATACCTACTGACATAATTCCCTTACATTTATCTAGCACTTCATAATTCACAAAGTTATCTCCAAACAACCAAGTGAAATATATGGCGGGGCTTGTATTTTAAAAAGATGAAACTAGTTGGGCATGGTAGCACATGCATGGAGTCCTAGCTACTTGGGAGGCTGAAGCAGGAGGATCGTAGTTATAATGCATGATGATCATACATGTGAATAGCCACTGCACTCTAGCCTGGGCAACATAGACCCAGTCTCGAAAATAAAATGATGAAAGTAAAGCTCAAGAAATTAAACAACTTGACCAAGGACTCAGGACTAATAAATGACAAATGCAAACTTAAGACTCAGGTCTTCAGATTTTTATGCTGGTTCTCTTCTCAGAGTACTTTTAAGATTATTTATTTATTTATTTGTTATTGCTTTTAAAAGAAATGCTGTGGCCAGGTGCAATGACTCACTCCTGTAATCCCAATACTGGGAGGTCAAGGCAGGAGCATTGCTTGAGCCCAGGAGTTGGAGACCAGCCTGGGCAGCAAAGCGAGACCTCGTCGCTACAAAAAAAAAACAAAACTAGCCAGGCATGGCAGTGTGCACCTATAATCCCTGTTACTTGGGAGACTGGGGTGGAAGGATCACTTGAGTCCAGGAATTTAAGGCTGCAATGTGCTATGATTATGCCACTGCACTCTACCCTGGGTGACAGAGTGAGATCTGACTAAAAAAAAAAAAAAAGAAGGAAATAATAGAAATAAAAGAAATGCTGTGCTTCATTAGTCTTTATCATGTAACTTTAACTAAATTACATGCCTTGCAAAATATGATTTTTTTTTTTTTTTTTTTTGAGTTGG